GTAACATCTTGCTTGAGTATAGTCCAATATCACAGCCAGGGAATTGACATTGTTACAATCCATGTGACTTGTTCAGATTTCCCTAGTTTTACATGCACTTGCGTCTGCATACATCTACTTCTGTGCTATTTTATCATGTGTAGATAAATGTGTGCAACACCACAGTCAAAGAGTCAGAACATTTCCATCACAAGGATCCCTTATCCTACCCTTTCATAGCCATAAGCACAGCCACCTTCTTCCCTCCCCTCTCCCTAACTCTTCTTGATAGTACTTCTGTTCTCCATTTCTATAATTTTGTCATTACAAGAATGACATATTTATGGAATTAAATGATATGTAACCTTTAAAGACAGGCTTTTTTTTCATTCAATTTAATTTCCTTGAGATCCATCCAGATTATTGCATGTATCAATAGTTTATTCCTCTTTATTACTGTGTAGTATTTCGTGATATGGATATACCACAGTTTATTTAACCATTCACATGTTGAAGGAAATTTGAATTGTTTCCAGATTTTTGGTATTAAACACAAATATGCTGTGAGCATTCCTATGCAGGTTTTTGTGTGTTGGGCTCTTTTACCTGCCTGTAATCCTGCTGACTGGACCAATTGTCGAACTAGGGCTGGGTCCAGAACTCAAAGACCCCTCAAGCCTATTCCAGGCTGGGTCACAAACCCTTCACATGCCAGGCCAGGTCCCCAGATCCCTCACATGCCAGGCTGGGACCCCAGTCCCTTTACACGCCAGGCTGGGTCACCAGACCCCTCACATGCAGGTCTATGAGCTAGGTAACTGGCAAACAGGTACTTGGAGCTGCAGGTTCAAGAGCATGGCCACACAGGTGGATGCCTGAGGCAGATGCCAGCCAAAATGCAGCACCACGCATGCACACTAACTCCACCCCCCCCACACAACTTATTTACAAAGAATGCTGCACCACCCCAACCTTACCTAAGGTGAGGGGGCCTGATTAAATTAGTCTGTTTTCCCAACAATCCACCCCTTCAGGGTCCCTCCCCGTATAATCTTTGCATTCAGAATCTTCCATGATGTTCCCTTAGCGAGGATAAATGACCCTTACATTTACATAAGCTATTGTCCATTCAATATGCCTTAAGGCTTATAGTTCTGTCCTTTTAACTATTAGCTGCATATGTCCGGTTAGTAGTCACCATTGGTGTGATCCTCCATGAGAATCCTGCAGTCATACTGATGGGCAGTTCAATGCATATTCAGTAGATGATTACACCAGTGTATGTATGTACCCAGTCAACTCTGGTGCAGTGCTTGCAGCGAGAACACTTAGCCAAGGCATCGGCTTCATCATTTCCTGGACTGGCTAAGGGGAAGTGTCCTGTGACATGGAAAAGTGTTACTTCTTTCACATGTCCCAATTCCCATAACTCTTGCCATGTGGTTTGTCTCCACATGGATTGGTGGCCTACCATCCACTGTTGACATTTCCAAGTAGAGATCCAAAGAGTTAATCCTTTGTACACAGCCCAGCTGTCAGTACAGATGGTTAATGGCCCAGGCTCATTTTTTATCACCATCCATACTGCTCTCAATTCAGCCCATTGACTGTTTTGCCCTGTACCATTTTCATACCATATGGTATCTGTTAAGGGCTGGACAGCAACAGCTGTCCATGATGCTGAGGGTCCCATGCTAGAGTCATCTGTATACCAAGCTTGCTCTGTGATAGGTCGCTGTCCCTCATGGAAAGATGTAACCTCTACTGCCACGGGTAAGGGTTGTGTTGAAGTTTCCTCTGTGACCTCTACTGGGCCTAGCACAGTTTACAACTCTTTGGACAGGGGACTCATTGACACAGTGCTCCTTTGTCCTATATATGTTCCCCATTTAGACAGAGTGGGAGTCTGAGCTACACCTGTTTTAGGGTTGGTTGCCCATGTGTGCAGCCAACCTATTATGGGATATGTCATCCTTACTGGGACTGGGCAGTTCCTGTGATAGGTTCAGTGGCTATCAAGGCAGAATACACAGCTGCTAACTGCTTTTCAATTAGGGTATAATGCACTTCAGTACCCTTCCAGAGCTGAGACCAGAATCCTACAGGTGTGCGGAATCAGTCTTGTCTCTGCCACTAACCCCATCCTAACCCCTCCTGGGTTATATGTATATCTAACTCAAAAGGCTTAGTGGGGTCGGTCACTTGTAAAGCTTGTACTTGCTGTATTGCCCTTTTTGTAGCCCAATAAGCTTGTTCTACTTCCTCAGTCCAATCCCAGAGGGCTCCTTTCTTTGTTACTGCATATAGTCGGCATGCCATTTGGGCCATATGGGGTACAAAAGCTCTCCAACACCCCAAAAGTCCCCAATATGTCTGTAGCTGAGCTACTGTTGTGGGTCGAGGGCATGTCTGCATCTTATCTATAATAGCTTCTGGGATGACCCTTGTCTTACCCAACCAGACCATTCCTAGGAATTTGACTGACAGCCCAGGTCCTTGCACTTTGGCTGTGTTCATGGCCCACCCGTATTGTTCCAAATGACTTAGCAGTGTTGGAGCTGCCTGGGTTAAATCTGCAAGAGAAGCAGAGGTTAGTAACACATCAACAGTGTAGTGAAACATTGTAACCATGCTGGGCCTAGTCTACTTGGCTAGGTCCCCAGCCACCAAACCATAACAGATGGTTGGGCTATGCAGATAGCCTTGGGGCAATACTTGAAAGGTCCACTGTCTTCCTTCCCACATGAAGGCGAACTGATCTTGGCTATCAGCCGAGATTGGAATAGAGAAACAAAGCATTTGCAAGGTCCAATACATAACGATATGTCCCCAGCTGAGTCGTCAGCTGATCAGTCAAGTAGTGAACTGAAGGCACAGCTGCATGCAAAGGAGGCACTACTTTGTTCAGTTCTTGATAATCTACAGTCATTCTCCAGGTACCATCAGGCTTTTTCATTGGCCATACCAGAGCATTAAATGGGCTCTGAGCTGGGCAAATAATGCCAACTTTCTTTAATTCCAATATAATGGCACTTATCTCTGCATGTCCTCCTGGTAGGCGATACTGCTTTACATTAACTACATGTCTTGGCTTGGGTAACACCTGTGGGTCATGTTTAGCATATCCTCGTAACACAGGCTTTACCGTCCGTATTCACAGCTAAAACTCCCCAACTGTTGTTTGCAGGTGCAAACCATAAACTACATCCATACCCAAGATGTATTCAGCTATGGGAGATATATATATGTACAGTATATACATGAGGGGTTAATCTTTCTATGCCCAATGGCAATAACACAGCTTTGACCTCAGTACTATGTCCACCATAGCCATCTATATGAACTGTG